TTACTGTGGCTTTATGAGAAAGATAATTTAGTTCAGATTAGTTTAAAACTAACTAACTAAATAACTATAGGTTTATAAAAAAGTATATGCCATATTAGTATTTAGTTTTAAAAATGTGTTCTATGTTAAGGGGAATAAGATTTCTCTCAAAATTGAGCTCCATCCAACAACTTTAATAAAATATAAAGACATCGCCTCAGTACATTAGGGATTTTTAAAAAAATTATTCTGCTTATGTTGGCTTGAGTTGGGGTGTGATTGCAGTCCTTTTATTAGATAGTAAGGTTTGAAAAGGATTACATTTAATTAAAACCCTGAAGGAATAAAAAGATAAAACTTGTTTTATATTTTAAGAATAAGCTATTTGACTTTTTTTATAATTATTTTATTAACTTTATTTATTTATTCATTCATGTATTTTAATATGACCAGAGAGGGACAGAGTGAGAGAGAGAGAAAGGGAAGGAAAGAAAGCAAACCACCAGTTCCAGGACTCAAACCGTGATCAAGAGTCCAGCACGCCCAACCACCATGCCACCTGCTGGCCATATTTCGACTAGTTTTGTAAATAATAAAATACTGATGCATGGGACCAGCAGTTGGCATAATGACTATGTCGCTGGACTTCCATGTAGTCTACCACAGTTTGAATCCCAGACCCAGTGGCTTAAACTCATTCAGGACACATGTGCAGGCGTGTCCAGGAACCCAAGAGGAGAATGGAGGAGAAGGGATTGCGGCGTGGTCATACCCCTTTTCTGTCTCTCTGTTTCTCTCTGTCTTTCTGGAGATCGCAGGCACCCTATAGCAAAAAACTTCTTCCACCCCTCCCAAAAAAATACGGATGCATTAGTTTTGCATAACACTGTCTCTTCAGTAAAAAACTAATTGAAGGAAAATAATGGAAGAGTCGTATTATAGGGAAAGGTTTAAAAGTTATCATCTGATAATTCTAGTAACCTTGGAAGCATAGACCCTAACTCAAAGAGTCAAAGCCAGTGATACTATTTTATTTTTTATCATGAAGTAAGGTTTTTATCATATCTTTAACAATTAAGTATATTAATTTTGGCAAAAATACTCATTTTAAAAAACATAAATTTGGCTTTATAATTATTCGGAATAGGGGAAATGCAGAGATTATTCAATCAAATCAGACTTAATAAAAATAATACAATCCTATTAGATATGAAAAATAAACCTGGATTTATTGAAAAATTGTGTTTAAATGGAAATTGCAGTTAAATATAAGAAAATACTTCCTAATAGTTGTAAATGGGTTTTGCTAGTTTATCACACATCTAATTCACATGTTAATTTTTAAAATAACACTAGTTTAAAATTTATATTCCAAATGTTATCATTAATTTTAGCATTTCTTTGACTTTTTTACTTTATTTTGTTGGGAGATGTTTTTGCTACAGGGCACATGCACTCGCCAGACAGACAGAGAGAGACAGAGACAGAAAGCGAGAAATCACCCACCAGGGGGGATAGCCATGCCACAATCCCTTTTTCTCCATTCTCCTCTCAGGATCATGGGCATGCATGCACATGCGCCCGGCGTTAGTTTAAGGCACCAGGTCTGGGACTCGAACCGCAGTCGACTACATGGGAGTCCAGTGACATAGCCATTACACTAACTGCTGGTCCCTCACTTCTTTGACTTTATACTAAAGCCATATATCTTCAAAATTAGATATCAATTTATAGGAAGGCAAACTAAAATTAAAGTGTGAAAACTATCCAGATCCTCTAAGTGGTATAATTGCTGTAGATGGAAGAATTCAGGCATGACTGATTGTCCATGTCAATAAATGTAAAAATGATTGAAGTAGCTCATCAATATGCAGATCTTGTCTTTTATTTATTAGACATTTTTATTTCCACCAAAGTGCATTCAGAATATTTTCATTTATGAAGTGAAAATATTTCTCAAAGCAATTTAATAATAAAGTATAAGTACTTTGGTAGTAAAAAAAGAACATACCCGAGACATTATGAATGTTTATATTTAACCTAAGGACTTCAAATCAAGACACAGAAATGTTTTAAATAGCTGTGTACTATTTGTACATCTCAAGTGTATGCTCTAAAATTTTAATCAAGTCAAGAGCTAAGCTGTGCTACCAACTTGACCTGTTAGGAGTGTCTTTCTGTACCACCATTGCAATGATGCAAGTTGTGTTTATGGATTAAAAGTCTCTCTGAATCCTAAACAAAGATGAAAAGCAAAAATAAGGACATCAAATAATGTTCTTTAAATATATTTGTATTTTGAAAGTTGACACTACAAGCATTATATCTCTAAAGCAGAATTCTTTGTTCAGCTATATTCAAAGGCTATTGTAAAATATGAAATAAACCTTGTTTAGTGAAAGCATATTTTGAGCCTTTAAAATTATTTGGATAATTTTCTATAAAGTTCTAACATAGTCCTAAATTAAGTTACTATCACATTGTAACCATGTAGATAAAGTTGATAATGAAGCATTGTTATGAGGGTGCCAAATATAATCTAAGTTAGAAATATATAATAATGCTATTAACCGAAGTTCAGTTAGCTTTGATGTGTTTATCAGATAATTTATCCACACTAATATAAACCACATAAAATAATCTTTCATATCTTCATATTGTTTTGAATTTCTCTCTGAACTTCTTTTCTATTATATATGAAAGTAATAGTATCATATATGCAGGTAAATGTAAATGTCCATGTTTTTATAAATATGGTAGAGTGTTGACTCCATTTAGATCTTCTTATTTATTGGGAACCACCAGTGAATAAAGCACCTACATCTTAACCATTCATTTAAAATCATTCTTAAAAGTATAGACCTGGTTATGATTTTTAAAAATTTTTCTATTACTTGAATTTTTTCAAAGTCAGTGGATAGCTTTATATCATAAATAATTACATATTTAAACTTAAAAAATAATTCTTTGGCACATACTAAGGTGTAATTAGAAAAGAAATAGATTGTAACAATAACCAAAGGCATATTTCTTACGAATTAGAATATTTCAGGTGAAGCATGTTTCAACTCACAATTGTTCATACAGTTTTCAATCTTACTTTATTTTACACATTGAGAACTGGCTTTAGACGCTATGAATTGATTTTATGATGCTATAGAAAAATATCCTGTAGAAAAATAATTTACTTCTGGCTAAATGCCTGTATTATTAGTACTCTGATATTTTCATATTAAAGAAATCAAGTATTAGACCATAATAACATACATTTTTATATCCAATTGTCAGTTATTTACTCAAATATCAGGTCTTTGAGTAATCTTCAATATTTATTGCCTTTTGTGTTTTAACAGTATTCTTTGAAAATATAGATTACAAACTATGTTATCAATACAGACAGGACTGTTTTATTAAATCATGAAAGAAAATCATGGAGGTTTGATTATGAAATAATTAGAAAATTATGGAAATTTATTTATTAATATAATAACTTCTAAAAATACTGATTGAATTTAAAATGATGTTTGATTTTTGTTACAAACCCAAGGCTTTGGGTTATTTAATGTGTTGTTTCCACTTCCTTCCTCAGTTATCTAGTGGTTATTTACAAAGCCACAGTCTAAAAACACTTTTCTCAATTTTGCACATGTATTTGGGAATTTAGTACAATTGATGACCAAAAAGAGATAGGAATTAGCCACAATACTTTTAAATGTAAGAAATAATTGAAGTTTCTATTATAATAAGAAATCTATGGAAAAACTGAGTCAAAAATACCAAGGAGTTACTCAGGAAGAGTTTGAAGTCTACTGTTAATGTGCCAGATTATGGGTGATTAAGTACAGGATACTTCCCTTGAAGGATATCTTGCTGAGTATAATTCATTTAAATCAGAATACATATTACATAAAAATTATGTTATTCAACATAATTTGAACTCAAACCTGACATCTAACATTCTTTAGCCACATATTTTTGATATCTCTACACCAACAACTTAAGTAGACACCACTTTCTTAAATTGTCCAAGACAGTTTGCACTGTTGTCATGAGCATTAACAGATGTTTCATCTCGACATTTCATTAAATTTTATCCTGGAAAGTCTGTATTTTTAAAACTACTTTAATTTTCTCTGTTTAATCATCTAAAATCCTCATCTGGGAAAGCTCTGTTACGTTTTCCACAGATACGTTGTTATCACACCCTCCCCCAAAGTTTGCAAAGGGAGACCAGTCAAGTTGAAGCAACACATTGTCTTAGCTAAAGAGTTCTGGAATTAAGAATTAATAAATAAAACTCTATATGTTCTCAACTTCATGTGATCTACACCCCCACCACTACCACTTTTGTAACTCATCTCATGATCCAAATAGAACGGAAACAGTTCAGGTTAGCAAAAGAAAGATTTACACATCTGGCACAGCGAACAATGAAAATTCCATTAGTTCAATAGTTAGAAACATAAATGTAAATACAGGTGAAAGGCAAAGAGAAAACAAATATAATAAATCCAGAGTTCCTAGTCTTCTTTTAACCCAGTATTATTTTCAGCCACACAATGAGTGAGATTCCAAAAACCCACAAATAGTTATTCTTTCACCTCTCTCTTAGAATACAGAGTATTTGGAAAGTTTTAAGATCTTTCCAGGGGGGGAAAATGTTTTCCAGCTGTCAAGGTTTAAGCTTAGTTAACTGTAGTGTTAATTTTAAGAGTTGTTTCCCTGATTAAGAAATTTGTTCAGAAATATGCCTTTCAATCTACTTAGGTTTTATTACTCATTTAAATTTATTTTCTAGAATACTACTGTAAAAATTTTTATCTAGTAGTAATAGATTTTGTATGCTATGCATTTATAGTAATATGCTATAGTTTCCTAAGGTGAAATAAATGAAAATATGCTTTAAATGTTGTATCAATGCCATTTACTAAATTCAATGGTAAAACCTTGTCAAATTACAGGAGGATACTACTCAGGGAAAAAAAAAAAAAAAACAGATTTATTTTGAATAATGCACTTACCCAGCACAGCTCCTAAAGAAATTCTTGGTGAAATACTCTTAGGATGGAATTTGATTTTCTGAGATTCTACAGAAGAGATCTGCCCCCAAGGCAAGGTGGAGAAGAATGAAAGCCTTGCAATGTGATCCTGCAGGCAGAGTGAGATCCAGTTAGCTGAGCTTGATGGTCCTAAGGCAGGAGGTGACACTCTGCTGGAGAGAGAGGGGCTGTTCTGAGAAGATTGGAAGTGTTGTCAGATTGTAAGTGATCAGCAGCAGAAGGGAAACATCAGAGCTTCCTGTTACATCACTCTGACCCCGCCTGCAGTTAGTGTTAGGTTACTTTCTTTCTCAAATAGCATATCCCAGGAAAGCAAAACTCCTCTCTGATTCTGAGGCAAGAGCAAGAAGCAGCCTGAACAGACAGAGATCATATGCTGCATGAATACATTGTTACCAGCAAAAGCTGGCTGGCTTTCACCTTGACTGAGTTCTGTCAGAACTTGCCAAACAGAGCTGCCTGTGATTTGAAGGAAATATGAATATATTATTCTGCTCAAAGAATCAAAAGAGCTAGAGGTGCGCGCGTGTCTGTGCGCGTGCGTGCACTGGCATGTGTGTATGTGTGAGTATGTTTTGAATTATAGTTTACAAAGCATCCAAGGAAATTTTTATTTTACTTGTTTTTCTTCCTAAATGAGCATGTAAATAAATAAATGTTTTCATGATAAATACTCCTGTGATGTGACTTTTATTAATTTGGAGCTTTGTTACTAAGATGCTATTCCTCAGTTTTCCACCATTTGCTCAAGATACTATCCTGTAGTTAATTTTTTTTTTTTTTAAAGACAAGGTCTTGCAATGTCCTGATCTTCCTGACTCACCTTTTAGCTGGGCTCACAAGTACCCATTATTTGCCTGACTTGCAGGCTGTACTGGAACAGAACCTTGACCTATGTGGTCCCAAAGCATAGCATAATACCTTAATGGTGCCCGCTGCTGCAAAAGGGGAAAAACTCTCTTTTATTTTGTCACAGCTTAAGAATGTGTGTGTGTACATGTCATAAAACCTATGTGTGTGTGTGTAACTGTGTTTTTAATTATATATATATAAATACATATAATAGAGATTAAACTTTAGAGAAGAATGATTAATTTTAAAATAATTAGCCATACTTTAAATGTGTTGATGTAATATGTCACCATCTAAAAAATTATACAGTAAAATTTATATCCCAAAATAGCTTTAAAGAAAATGCAAATATTTTATACTTATAATATCATAAAAAAATGTAAAATAGGCAAAACATTTTAATTTTTAGAAAAAAGTTGAATCTCAAAATAAATTTATCCTGAATACATTTAATAAATCATTGAATATGAGCAGGGGAAAAAAACTATAAATTAGAAATAGACTTGTTCTTTTTAATAATATGGTAAATATCTTAGTGGCCACAATAATTCGAATTCCTGAAGTCTAAATAACTTTCTAAGTCACTTAATTTATCTGGGAATCAGCTTTGTCACCTGTGAACTGAAAGAGATAGATCAAATAATATAAAATTTCTGCAACTCTAAGACTTTGAATCAACACATTTCATAACGTTTTAGAAATTCATAAGCGATGATTTTCCATTTTTAGAAGTTTGAAAAGAAAGCCACAGAGAAATGGGTAAGTTGCTGCAATTCAGTTAGAAATGTGGTACCCGTACTCTGCAGACTAAGAATCTAAAGGGAACACAAACTGAGGAATGCCATGTTTTCGAAGCAGTGTGTTCCTGTGCACGTTTTTATTCCCTGGGTCAATGGAAGAAAATTATTACACAGTCTTTGACTTTAAGGATTTCCAACATCATCAGGGTCGATTAAAAAAGTACATACATAAATATAATATGTATGTAATCTCTATTATCTATAGTTAACAGAAAGCTCATAAGAAATAGGGTTACAGTAGTGTGGTTATTTGGAGGCCGAAAATAAACCAGAGTAGTTAAACTGTCATGTTATGGAGTATTATATTTTGAGATAAGAATTTGGTCTTGCTTTCCTCTGGGGGACTGTTGAGCTGTTTCTCTAAGTCCATGAGAAGAAAAGTCAATGTTACAAATTACTACTACTGGCTCCACAAACAATGACTCATTAATCAGAAAACCAGTGCGGTTATTTCTAGGTGAAAGCTTTGGTGAATTCCGATGTGGAGCAAATGCACTGCTCAGGAAACTGCTATGAAAAAAGTAGAAAGTACTGGGACTGGACCAAGAAGCATACGCTATTCCTCCTCGTTCTGATACTTTCTGGTGTGAGCTTGACACTGTGTTTTAGGCGTGGTGTTTTATCTCAAATATTCAAAAAGAATCAGGTCAACCAGTGGTGGTGGTTAAGGCAGCTGGATCCCACATTGCCAATTGCATTATTTCAGTCCCAGACCTGGTCATTTGGGATGTGTATGTGTGCCCAAAATCCGGCAAGGAGAGAGAAATGGAAAGAGGAGAGATTATGGCATGACTGTGCCCCATGGAAAGTGCTTTCTAACTTTCTCTCTTCTTTTTTCTTTCTCTTTCTGTCTGGCAAGCGCACAATCCCTCTGAGAAAAGTAAAAACAAATACAACCAGTATTAAATACTAGATTTTAATGTCTGAATTATTATTGTCTATTTCCTCTCATCTCCCATGCTAAGTACAATATCTGATCCTCAGAAAGGGATCATTGTGTAGTTTTTGATTTTAAGTAATAAAAGCTCATTTTTTTAAGTTTAAGAAGGCATTAATCACTTTTTTGTTTTCCCAAAGATTCATTGATATTATTTTCCCAATAAAGTCTAGTTAATTGAAAAAGTATCTTTTGAGTTTATCAAAAGACTCTAAGCTCGAAGTTCTTTCTCCTCTACTATATATCAAGTGCTATACTAAATAAGAAGTATAGCAGAAGTAATATTATTTATACTTAAATGACTAGTTAGGCATAGTAGCCCATAGTTATAGTTTGTGAAGACTCTTGGTTAACTTTTAACCAGAATTAGCAAGAAAATTACATCCAGTAATCATATCCTTAATTTTGTAAACTTCAGAAGCAATAAATGCAATGAGGACTTCCAGGAAATCAGTCTGGGTATACCAAGTTATGGAGGGGCTACCTCTCAAAAACACTCTGAAACACAATAAGTATTTGGGAAATTGAAACAGGACAAAGTGAAAATATTTATATAACTAATGAGATGATTCTGAGCCAATATGGCATTAATTAATACATCAATTCAACTTACATGCGCTGTATGTATGTACTTATAATCTTTTCTGAGAACAGATTAATGTCACTTAAAATCACTTAAGAAGTAGTAAGATTGTATCTTTAGCTAGATATCATAGTATTGATAGTTGTGTTTTCAGGAGTTTAAAATACATAAGCCACGGTCTGCTATCTAGCTATTGACAGCACAGATTGACTCATATGTGAAGAATCAAGTGCCTACTTCTTTGCAATTAGCAACGGAGGCTGCCAACGAAAGTCTGGATGTAACCATTACGAGTACTGTCATGTCAATAAGGTTTTCTATAGAAGTATATCTGAAAGGTAATAGCATAAAAATGAAGACAATGTATACTTATTTTTATGTATTTATATCTACAATTTTATATACTCTATATATTTATCATATATACAATGATAAATATCACACTTGTCCATTTTAGAATTTTACACAGAAGAATTGTGTCAACTTTTGTGTTTTCACGTAAGGGTCACAAACATCAAAGTCTTCCAAAAAGTACTGATTACTATATGAACTGCATTTTGACTCAGAATCAGAAAGAGGTGAAAGTCAGTCTCTGGACGTCTGTTCATATCAACGAAGTTAGTCTAATCAGATCGAAAATGTAGTTTGACAAACCTAGTTCTTTTCTGATTGACCTATCCACTTATTTTAAATTCATGTGGATACTGCCTTGGAGAATTGTTCTTCTGTCACAAAAACAAATAAAACAAAATATTTTTACGTGAAATATATTATGGATAGCCCTTCTTAGTTACAGTGTAAAAATAGAAAGGCGAAAAACATTAAAAACTGATTTGTGGGAACCAGCAGTTAGCGTAATGGCTATGTCGCTGGATTCCCACGTAGTCAACCACGGTTCTCGTCCCGGACCCAGTGGCTTAGAACTCACGCCAGGCACGTGTGCGTGCATGGCCAAGATCCCAAGAGGAGGATGGAGGAGAAGGGATTGCGGTGTGACCATCCCCCTTGGGGGGTGATTTCTCGCTTCCTGTCTCTCTGTCTCTCTCTGTCTGTCTGGCGAGCACACGTGCCCTATAGCAAAAAAAAAAAAAAAAAGAAAAACTGATTTGTAAATTGTTTTTGTTATATTGTTGGTTAACAATCCTCTATGTTCTTACTTATCTTAAAATCATTACTTAATCACAAGGTACTTTATGAGTCAACAAAATTATGTGTAATCTGCTATATTAAAAATACACTATAGGAGCCAGTAGGCAGCATGGTAGTTAAAGCTCTGGCCTTCCACATGGCCAACCACAATTCGAGTCCTGGACTTGAAAATCACACTGTATGCATGTGTATGCGTGCCCAAAATCCCTAGAGGAGAATGGAGGAGAAGCTATTGTGGCATGGCCATTCTCCCAGGAGTAATTTCTTACTTTCCCTCTCTGTCTCTCTATGGTGAGCAATCATGCCCTATGGCCAAAAATAAATAAATAGATAGATAGATAGATAGATAGATAGATAGATAGATAAATAGCAAGCTTAAAACACACACACACACACACACACACTAATAATTTGAGGAAAAACATGTAATTCTTACAACCTTTCAAACAAAAAATTCTCCTAGCAAGGAAAAGTTAAACTAACCTTTTATCATTTTAAAAAGCAATTGTTAGTATTTTTCAAGTTATTTCCCAAAGCAGAGCAAAATGAAGTGATTAGTAAAAGTATCTGGGTTAATGTTTTGGCTATTGAGAGTGGCTATGCTATAAAACCCAAGTGCTTATTTCTACTATAATTGTGCACATGAGTTATAATTTTAAGGGAAATTGTGTCATTTTAATAATACTTACTATAAAAAAGATTTGAAAAAATTTACAAAATTATTTAAATTTGAAATGAATAGTCATTTTATCAGGTCCGCAAATAAATAAGACTATTTTATAGATAAATAAGATCACTTTAGTAGCCTATCTGGAATATTTCTTTCAGTATTTTATGATTTGTTTTCTCAAGAAAGTCAAATAACATAAAAAAAAGATTGGCCAAATATTTGCTTATCTTTAAACTGATTCTAAGTTCTGGTAAATTTGTATTAG